AAATACTTCCTCACATTATTAAGTACGTTTCAGAAATTAAAAAGTCTTTGAACCCGCCAACTTGTAATAGCTTTAGTATTATTGAAAAGTTTTGTCAAGACCCTTTGCTTCCCGTTAAATTAACATTTTTCAAGTCATTTTCTCAAGATGTAGAACCTTTTCTGACTGAATTTTAGTCAAATTACCCCTTGCACCTTTTTTGTGCAACGCTCTCTCTAGTCTCATGTGTAATGAAATGGAACGGTTTATAAAGTCTGAAGTAATGAGGAAAGCAACCTCAGTTCTTGACGTAGATGTAAATGACGGCAAAAATCTATTAACAGCTCACCTTGGTATAGGCACTAAAACTGTTCTAAATAAAATAAAAAAATGCCCTCGTCTAGAAATTCTTAAAAAATTTTTGTTGAATGTCTCAACATTTAGATCATTTTCGGACACAAATTTTTAATGATATTTAACCTAGCGATAATATACGAAATTTTATGCGAATGATAAGTGTTCTTTCTTATGGAAATGCCAATGACGATATTCATATTCTTTATTCTTTAAGTCTTTGTTTTCATTTTATATATTCGTAGAATTTGTTTAATTATATTAATTCGTAGAATTGTTATTGGTGATTAGTCCTATAGCGGCTTGAGGTAAAAGAATTCTTTTCATCTTAGCGCGGTTAGATGCTTTTCTAAACAATTACTATCTTATCGCCAAATATTATATTCTTTCGGGATGGAGAGCATTGTAATATGATCTGCCAAAATTGGAAAATGTTTTGGATTTCGAAAATAATCTTATGGAATGTTCGAATCACAAAGAAGCGGAAGTATATTTTACACTGATATGTCAATTTAAATATTGATTATCAGCATGACTTAATTTCATTAGATTGTGAGAAAAGAATTTTTGATTTAAAATGTTTATTTAATATATTTCTTTCTAGGAATTATTTTCACCAATTTACCCTTTTATCAACATAACTAATCTTAAAAAATAGTATAAAAGGAAGTTATTTTTGTCTATATTAATCAGTTGCAAATAAAAATATTGGGTGGTATAGTGGAGAAGTGCATGTTTTAAACAAAAAATTATTTTTAAATAACAAAAAGTAAAATAATGGATTCAATAAATTTTAAAAAACTCATTAACATTATGGAAAATGCTTATATAGTAGTGAAGAATATTAAAAGTAAAAGAAGATTATTATTTGAATCGGAAAAGTGGATTAAATTGGGAGAGAGAAACATTCGTCTGTTAAATAAAATTTTGAAAGCTAAATCGATAACAATAAACAAAAGGAAAAGAATTTTAACAATTGTGGGAATTTTAGAAACCATAAGTGAAAAATTTAAAGAAATCCAAAAACATGGTGGTGGAAATAAGGGGAAAGAAGAGAGAAGAATAAAGTGGAAAAATTTAGAGTCAGTATTTGCAAAAAGAATTAGAACAGGAACAATTGTTAATTTAAAGCATAAAAATTTATTTAATTTTTTAGAAGAGTCGAAAGTTTTAATAAAATCTCGTATAAAAAATTTCCTGAATAAAAATAGTAGCCTAAAAGTAAATTTCGTGTTAATAGGTAGTTTTACAACTGTAGAAGGCGGTGAAAATATAGAAGATAAAAAATCCTTTAATACAAAAAATCATGTTATAAATCTGTCCTCAGACATTGATACAATTCTTAATGAAATAAGTGAATATATGAGGCAAAATTCCTGAAATGTCCGAACAAAAAATTAAAAGTTCTCGAATTTAATCCATACTTTTCTAAAATGTTGTTATTGTTGGTGAAAGTCTAAAAATCAATTATTATTGAATTTAATAAAATAGTTTTTGAATTACAACGTTTTTAATTTTTGACTTTTGAAAAAAAAAAAAATTTGTTCGATGTACAATATTTATAAGTAGAATGCATAAAAGTTAACATATATATGAGGCACTCCACGTCAAGTGATCCGGGTCTAAATTTTAATTACCTGGGATCAGGTTTAAAGTTTGCTTAAACTTTAGTTCTACTAGATACAACTTCAAGTACCAAAGATTATTAATTTATTTAAACAATTGTAAAAAGTGGAGGGAGTCAAAGTTTTAATTTTTTGCTCTACATCGTATATTTCAAAAATCTGCAATTCCTTTAAAACATAACAAAAGAATGTTTATTATATATGAATTGTTTGCATTTTTTACGCACTTTCTAATAGTATAAACAATTTTTCGAAAAAAAATTTTTTTGACCTTGAAAAAATAAAATTAAAAATAAAATTTTGATTTTTGAAAAAAGACATCTTTTTTAAACTTTTTTATTTTTTTTCATAAAGTTAAGATAATTTCCAAAAAAAATATATATAGGGCAAAAAGTGGGACGAGAACTTTTAAAGGGTCAAATTTAGCGATGATTTCTGCGGTGCGACATTGTCGTGCCCTGACAGTGTTTGCTTAGTTTTGATATAGTTCTTTCTGCATCCGCTAGGTGTCGACAAGAATGTATATGAAATTCTCTTGCTGGTGAGATTGAAACTAATAAGTATAAGTATAGAAGACTAAGAAAACCAATTATTTTAAAATCAAGAGTCTTCTATACTTATACTTATTAGTTTCAATCTCACCAGCAAGAAAATTTCATATACATTCTTGTCGACACCTAGCGGATGCAGAAAGAACTATATCAAAACTAAGCAAACACTGTCAGGGCACGACAATGTCGCACCGCAGAAATCATCGCTAAATTTGACCCTTTAAAAGTTCTCGTCCCACTTTTTGCCCTATATATTTTTTTTTGGAAATTATCTTAACTTTATGAAAAAAAAATAAAAAAGTTAAAAAAAGATGTCTTTTTTTCAAAAATCAAAATTTTATTTTTAATTTTATTTTTTCAAGGTCAAAAAAATTTTTTTTCGAAAAATTGTTTATACCATTAGAAAGTGCGTAAAAAATGCAAAAAAATTCATATATAATAAACATTCTTTTGTTATGTTTTAAAGGAATTGCAGATTTTTGAAATATACGATGTAGAGCAAAAAATTAAAACTTTGACTCCCTCCACTTTTTACAATTGTTTAAATAAATTAATAATCTTTGGTACTTGAAGTTGTATCTAGTAGGACTAAAGTTTAAGCAAACTTTAAACCTGATCCCAGGTAATTAAAATTTAGACCCGGATCACTTGACGTGGAGTGCCTCATATAATGATTTTTAAAGCTTTTTTGATAGGCTACACGCTGTTAATAAAATTTTTTTTTAAACAACATTTGACCTTGAAATTCAAGGTCAAAATGTTAATTTACGTTTATCTCAAAATCGGATTTTTTAAAATTATTTTGAACTATCTCAATGGAAAGCTTGACTATTTTCCTACAAATCATGTAATTTTTAGAGTGGGATCTTTTAAAGTTTTTGAGATATTAATTAATTAATTAATGTTTATAACAAATGAAATATTTTACAAACAAATAAAGTTACCGTAATTCTAAAGTTAGCAATTGAAACTTAACGTAATTCCGCATCCAACGAGCCTTGTATGAAGTAGTTTGGATAAGTAGATTGTTTATATACAATTAGGTAACATTGCAATTGTTTATTAACAATCTACTTATCCAAAATACTTCATATAGGGCTCGTTGGATGTGGAATTAGCTTAACTTTCAATTGGTTAGTTTAGATTTACGATAACTTTATTTGTTTGTAAGATATTTCATTTTTTATTGTTATTTAACTAAAATTGAACAAAAATACTTCATATAGGGCTTTTGGATGCTTGTTGTTAGTAAAAAATAAAATATCTCACAAACAAATAAAGTTATGGTAATGCTGAACTTACCAATTGAAAGTTAAGGTAATTCCGCATCCAACGAGCCCTATATGAAGTATTTAGGATAAGTAGATTGTTAATAAACAATTGCAATGTTAACTAATTGTTTATTAACAATCTACTTATCCAAACTACTTCATACAAGGCTCGTTGGATGCGGAATTACGTTAAGTTTCAATTGCTAACTTCAGAATTACGGTAACTTTATTTGTTTGTAAAATATTTCATTTGTTATAAACATTAATTAATTAATTAATATCTCAAAAACTTTAAAAGATCCCACTCTAAAAATTACATGATTTGTAGGAAAATAGTCAAGCTTTCCATTGAGATAGTTCAAAATAATTTTAAAAAATCCGATTTTGAGATAAACGTAAATTAACATTTTGACCTTGAATTTCAAGGTCAAATGTTATTTAAAAAAAAATTTTATTAACAACGTGTAGCCCATCAAAAAAGCTTTAAAAATCATTATATATATGTTAACTTTTATGCATTCTACTTATAAATATTGTACATCGAAAAAAAATTTTTTTTTCAAAAGTCAAAAATTAAAAACGTTGTAATTCAAAAACTATTTTATTAAATTCAATAATAATTGATTTTTAGACTTTCACCAACAATAACAACATTTTAGAAAAGTATGGATTAAATTCGAGAACTTTTAATTTTTTGTTCGGACATTTCAGGAATTTTGCCTCATATACTTAAAGAAGTTGAGGAATTTTCCGAGAAAAAATCAGGCTGGTCATTAAAAGAGATTTTAAATTTAATGGTAAATATTAACAGATACGCGCCAATTCAAGTAGGTTGTTCTGAAAATATAAATTTTCCGAAATTTATCATAGACAAGCATGCTGTTGTAAATATAAAAAATACTGATGATTATTGCTTTCTTTGGTCAGTAATGGCAGCTTTGTTTCCTGTAAAAGATAATGCAAATTTGACTACTTCTTATCCAGATTTTAGGAACGTTTTGAAATATGACGGAATAAACTTTCCTATAAAATTAAAAGATATTCCTAAATTTGAAAAATTAAATAGTTTGAAAATAAATGTCTATGGATTAGAAAGAGTTGATAAAAATAAAGAAGAGATTGTTCCTTTTTATGTAAGTGAAAGTTCGTCTAAAAAAATACAATTCATTTACTAATGTTAAAAAAATCAGTCAATTTATCTGCAATAAATAAAAGTGACATAAATAATTTTACAAGTACTTATCATTTCACATGGATACGTAATTTGTCACGTTGGGTAAAATCACAAATTACAAAACATCATGGTCGAACATGGTTATGTGACAGATGTTTATGTCATTTTATGTCTGAAAATTCATTTATTAAACATAGAACCGATTGTATGAATTTAAATAAATGTAAGGTTATTTTACCGTCAGAAAATGAAAACGAGACTGTTTTAAAATTTAAAAATTTTCGATATAAAGAAAAAGTACCATTTGCATTGTACGCTGATATTGAAAGTCTTTTGGAACCTGTCAATGATAATAATAATTTAATTTCTGGAGCATATAGGAAACATATAGCTCACAGTGTTGCATTTTACTTCAAATGCGATTTTGATGATTCTTTATCGATATTTGAAACTTACCGCGGGGTTGATTGTATTTCATGGTTCATTAAAAAATTAATAAATATTGCCGATTTAGTTGAATCTTATTTAAAAAAAATAGTTCCAATGGAAACATTAACTTTTCAACAAGACTTAGAATTCAGAACTTCAAAAATTTGTCATATTTGTGAAAATTTATTTAAAGATGATCACATAAAACACCGTAATCATGATCACTTTACCGGAAAATATAGAGGTGCAGCTCATCAGCATTGTAATGTAAATTATCAAAATTCTCATTCAATTCCAGCATTAAAACAAATAACATTTAAAGATTATAAAGATACACTTTTATTTTATAAGAACTTAACAAAAAAACAATATTCAATTCTCAGTAAAAAACATGATATTTACACGGTAGAACAGAAAAAGGAAGCTTTGAATTGGTATGATGATAAAAGGGTACTTTTACCCAAAAATACCGATACCATTCCTTGGGGGTATAATGAAAATAAAAATTTTTTTTTTAAAAATGCAAATTTTAATCTAGAAAATAAATTCTTGTAAAAAGTGTGAGTATTCGCACTCTTATTCTCTCTTTCTCTTTACCTTAATTCGTAATCATCTTAATCTCTCATACCCATATTAAACAATTAGGTGGACTCATCTTATTAGAGTAGTATGTGTTATCTAATCTGCTCTCTCGTTCTAATACATATTGTTTTGTCTTCGTTTGCGAATTCCAAAACAATGGGGCTGTGTATAAAAAGGAGACCCCATTAAAGAGGCTTCATTCAAAAAAATCAATCAAAAGATCAGCATCAAAGAAGTGAAGTGAAGTGCTGTGATTTTTACTTCATTTATTGAAAAAAGTGAGTTAATAATTAATTTTTATTATAATTAAATTTAATAAAATAAATTTTATTAAAATTATATTTTATATTATTATATTAATTATTAATTAATATATTAATATATTAAATTTTTAGAAAATTCATTTTCAACAATTAAATTTTTTTCAAAATTTCATTTTTACAATTTAAATTTGTTCTAAATATTATTTTTACAATTTATTTTTACAATTAAATTTTTTTTTTAATTTTTGAATTTATTTTTACAATTAAAATTTTTTCTAAATTTTATTTTTACAATTTTTAAAAATTTATTTTTAGAATTAAAATTTTTTTTAAATTTATTTTTACAATTAAAATTTTTTAAAATTTATTTTTACCCTTAAATTTTTTAAAAATTTATTTTGCAATTAAAAGTTTAAAAAATTTTTATTTTACAATTAAATTTTTTTTAAATTTATTGTTTAAAATTAAATTATTATACTAATTGATTATACTTAATTAACAATAAATTTTTTTTTGCAGTTTAAAAAATCTTTGAAAAATGGCAGGAGGATATAACACCTTTAATATTACCATTCAAGCCCCCAGGAGGTGGCTACTTGACAGCAGCATTGATCAATTTAAGGAATTGTGCATTACGGGACTTACAATCAGGGCAAGGGACATTTTTAATCATATGTCCAGCAGATCAGATCCTGTCTTCCTCTGCTTTAATGATGTTAGGGGAAAAGTCCATTGGTGTGCCAATGGGTATTGGATTCGTCATCATGGATTAAACTTTGATGAAATAATTGTAAGTAACGATATTTTAATAAAATAAATTTAACTGAATTGTGAGTTTCGAAAAGGGCTCTACTTAAAAAAGCATAAGTGTCATTTTCTCATAACAATTGACAGTGAAAATGATTCTTACACTTTTCAGAGTTAAGCCCTTTTCGAAATTCATCATTCAATTAGTATTTTTGTTTTTAATAAAATATGTTTTAACTATGAAAATTTTATTGAATTTATTTATATAATTTATTGAAATTTTTATATTATATTATAGATATAATATAATATAATAAATAATAATATATGTTATAATATTATATATATTATATAATATAATATAATAATAATAAAAAAATATAATAATAATTTTTCATTTTATTTGTGTTGCAGGATAATGAGAATTATGCAGGATTTATTCTGCAATTTGACATACCCCACGAGTGGCTGTCAAATTGCATTGACTTGGCAGCCCTACTAGATTTTTGCATACTTGCTGCCGGTGTACGCCGATACAATTTATTTAATGATTCTCCCTTAATGGGGGACCAATATTTTCTGGAGCACCAAGGAATCGTAGTCGAAATAAAGGAAGTGGAGGACTTTAAAATTCTTCTATTGAAGAGGCCGGACATCCCTACATTATTCTCCCTCCAATTCGATTTTGACATCATTAACTGTCCAGAGGAAGAGTCCCATAAAAAATGGGGATGAGGGGGAGCCTTCTGGTCTACTTCAAATAGATTTTGGGCTACCCATCGAAGAGGAGTCCCAAGAAAATGATGAGAAGGCGTCCCAGGAAAATGGTGTAGAGGGGGAAATATTGGTAAATGGAGGAGGAGAGGGGGAGATCCAGGAAAATGCTGTGGTGGTGGGGCAAGAAGTAGAGCAGGATTCTGGAATAGAAGAGGATGCCGTTGAAGGCCGGTCCAATAATGATAATGAAGACGAGCCTTTAGATTTATCATTAAAAAAACAAAATTAATTATTTAAAAACTTAACTATTTCAACATTTTTAAAAACTATTTTTTTATAAAACATAATATAAAAAGTAAAATAATAAAAAAAAGCTTGTCTTTTTAATGCTTGTTTCATTTTAATATCCCTACTTTCCTGTATTTTTTCACAAGTTTTTGATAATATATCTTTGAATTCTTTTGATAATATATATAGAGATATCAGAAATAACTGCAAATTTTGAAAAATACGTTTAAAAAAAATAAAATTATCATTACGTTTTATATGAAAATAAAATTTTGTTTTTGTAAAATATCTTAATTTTCAAGTTTCTATTAAAGAAAATTTTTTTATAATAATAAGAATAATAATAATAATAATTTTATTAAAAAAAATGAAATAAAAATTTAAAAAATTTAATTATAGAAAATAGAAATAAAAGAATTTTTTTTAACTACAGTTTTATTTCAACAATTGAGGGTTCACATACAATAAGGGGACGCGCAGGATTGTTGTTAGCCCCTCGCGCAGCCGCAGAATCGCTGTACGCGGGAACTTTCACTTTCATGCGTATCCCCTTATTGCATATAAACCCTCTACTAGATGTGATACTTTGTATCTATGAGGATAATTCCTAAAAAAAAGTAATCATAAATCTTTTAATTCTTTTGCCTTAATAAATTAATAATGGTTAGAATAATTTTTTAGTGAAAAAAAATTATTCAATTAAATAACTTAATTTTTTTATAAAAAGTCGTAAATAGAAAAAAAATGCTTAAATATGTTACTAAAAAATATTTTGTTTATTTTTCAAATAATTACATTTAAAAACATTTATTAATTACAAAACTAATATTTTAAATTAATACAATTTTGTAGAGCTCAAAAAAAGTTTTTGTTTTTAATCAAATCTTCAGAAGATGGTTTATATACAAAGATAAGAGGCCTGCCACATCTGGCCTGTCGTACAGGGCACTTGCTGTATATTCCACATCTGGTATATTTGTCACAGCTTCTAGAGTAGCACATAACTGACCTGCGTCAAATTCCTTGCAAGGTCAAGTGTATACTATTGAGATACTTTTTATTGCTATAATTCATTCTTATTTTGAGAATTATACAATATTTTATAATAATAATATTAAATAATAATAATATTAAATAATAATAATAATAAATTCAATTATTATTAAAAATATTATATTTTTACAATGTTTAATTAATTAATTAACTAATAATAAATTTTCAAATTTACACAATTTTTTTCACAATTCGGCTTATTGGTTTATATTCAACAATTCTATCATGCAATATTAAACAATAAGCTGAAGTGTTTGTCGGAAAATTTTCATTTGATTCAAATTCCAAACGAATGTCAACTGGTCCACTTTTTAATGACTCATTTTGCTTGGAACAATCTATTACAACTAAAGGAGCGTATCTCAAAAATTCCTTTTTCGTTAAAATTGGTTGAGATTCTTTATTATAATAAGACGCTTCGAAATTATTAAACATTTCATATAAAGTAGAATACTGATTTTTATCAATGTTAAGATTCATATTACCGTAGGGATAACATTGTGAATTTAAAAACAACTTTACATCAGATAATTTACAATGATCAAAATAACTTGAATTTAGAGCAGTATTACTTTCTCCGTTTCTTTGAAAACCTAAAACAATAAACCTAGGTTTTTCTAATTGACTTGAATTGACTTCAATATATTTTAGTAATTTAAATTTTCGTGCATCTGACAATTTTATATATGGCAACAGCCATTCAAGATTTTCAATTACAACTTTAAATTCTTCGAGAGGTGCTTCTTGTAAAACTGCATTTGAATCAGTTCTAGATCTAATTAAAATAAGCTCATGTTTAATAATGATTAATAGTGATTAATAGAATTAATAATGATTTTTTGGTAATCTTCAGCGAAACCAAAAATCATATTTAACGCTATACACACATCAAAATAAGCATCATCATTAGTTAATTTTGCTTCGTCAGAAAGTTCCATCCAACCAACATTTTCGAGAAATTTGCTCTGACTAGCATCGAAAGAAACATAATTTTTCATAAGACTAAAAAGGCCGACATTTTTATTTTTATTAATCTCTACACTATTTAATTTATACTTTGCTTCCTCAAATAAATTACAAATGCCATTAGATACTCATTTTGTGCAAGCTAAAGCTGTTCCGACAGGTTTCACAACTTTTCCGGTTACATGAAGCGAACTTTTGCTTGGAAGAAGGCAATGATCCTGATTTTGCACAGTGATTCTTATTTCGTCACTATTATTGTACGTTGATGATGTATATGGTTGCTGCGCATGTACCTCATAGTTAGCAATAGATTCATCAAAGATGATTGGTGAATCAATATTTAAAATTTCCCCTTCCATAACAAAAAACTATTCGCCTAAATACAAATACACAAATACAAGTAAAAATTCTTTTTATCCTCTTTTTTTCACGATTTTGAAGCCTAGACTTTTTAGTAACTGTAGATTTTGTGGTGTTAGCCGTCTCAGAACTCGTCGTTGACTGATTTTCTTTTGCCATGGTGTGTTATTTTCATAACCAAAACCAATTTTTCTTCTGTTACCAAAAATCCCCATTATTATTATCCCCATCATGTTACAATCCCCATTATTTTAAAGACTTTAAGTGAAGTCTAATTGTTATCGTCTCTCCACGAAAATTAACCAACTGTCCGTCTTGATCAACAATTTTTAACTGAATATGGTCTATTGTCTTTACTGCAACTGGTAGATAAATGACGTGATTTGGTACTTCTACTATCTTATATCCTGGTGGCACAACAGGAAAAAATTCATGAATTGTATGCACTTTTTCCCCGTTTATATATGCTCCTGTAGTTATGTTACATTCTACTCTTAAAGAATTTATTTTAATAATTGATACTGGTTGATCAGATTCATGATATTCCTGAGCTTTTAATTTGCGCGGAGAAAATCCTAGCAAACTGCCTATAGAGTCGTTTGGTTCAAAATTAATTTCTTTATCGCAATAAATTGTACATGTTAAAGTATTATTATTGGGTTTAATTCTAAAAAAATACCTTTTTTTTAAATTAAATGCAACGCTTGATCAATGTCACTAATTTCATAACTTCCTGTAGGAATAATAAATTCTTCTTTGCCTACATAAATTTTATTTTTTCCAATATCAATGTTAGGAATAGAATTGAATGTTAAAAATTCGACAAGACCGAGCGCATAATTTTTTAATGGTGATAAGTCAATGGGTAGAAAGAATTGAGATTCTAAGATTGAAGAATTTCCTGATAATGTTAATATCAGTGAATCGTCCATGATGAAATCAAACTATTAACGAAATTGAAATTTCAAATTATTTGTCTTTTATATGTATAGAATACATATCAGGAAAATTTAACTGATTAAATAAAAATTTAAGACATAAATGTCCACAGACAAATGTGTCATAATTTTGATATTTTTTATAATTAAACTTTATGCTACCAGCACCGAAATATTCAATAAGATCTAAAGGTGGTCGAAGATTGCCGAAGCTATCGAAATAAATAATTCCATTTTTATTCTTTTTATAAGCACACCAATGTGTACCCCGACCATCTTTATCATCTAAATTTATAATTGCTGATTCACACTTTCTAGGGGCGCTTACAGGTAGTTCATTTCGCATGAAAATTCCTCTAAAATATGGAATTTTCAGCAGCTTTGCAAATTTAAGTAAATCTAAATCTGTAAGGGCTCGGTAAAGGTAGCTTCATTTTCAGTTTTTTGACTTGCAACCTAATCCTTTTTTAAATGAAAGCCCTAATCCTGTCCTATATGGTTTCAAGTAAAGCCCTTTTCCTAAGGCAATCGACTCCATTGTTTTATTATGACGTTTACTTTCTTCAAGTTGACGTTTTGCAGCGCTTGCATCATTTACAGCTTTCGCAATTCCAGCTGCCCCTCCTGCCAATGCCCCTGTAGCACTTAAACCCGCAAACAAAGGAATAAGAAAAGGTAAAACGCCCCCAACTTTAGAGGGTATTGGTAAAATTCGAGGCTTATTTATATTACGCTTGCCATCAGCACTTTCTACTGCTACACGTGCATCTTGCAAAGCAGATTTGATAGTAGATTGTGCATTTGTACCTAATTTCATTGCATCTTTAGCTACAGTTATAATTTTTCGCAATGTTGATTTTTTCATTCTATTTTTCCGCTTTTTCTTTATATTTTTTTTCTCGCCTTAATTCCCATTCCAAGTTTAGATTTTAGCTTCATTGCATTTGTTATTGCGTAAGCTGCAGTTTTTTCACCAACACCAGCGTCTCTAGCAAAGACACGATTCCAAGCTTTTTCTGCAAGAACTTTATCGGCTGCGTTTCGTACTTCTATATTTTCCCTATTTTGCGAGTAAGCAATATCGTGATCTTTACAAGCTGCGTCAAGAGAATTAATTCCTGGATCGCCTCGCGCAACTCTTTTTGCTACTTTTGTCCCTGGACCACAATATTGGTAGCCAGGAATATTAAATTCTACTGGTAAATTATTTATCAATTTATTTAGACAACCTTTTCCTCGTCTCACCCTTCTAGAGGTTTGCTTATTACTAGTCTGTTTTTTATGAATTAGCATGTTTATATTCCTTGTACGAAGAAAACTTTTTCAATACTAATTTTAAAAAGTATAAAACCAAGGTATTTATACGAATTATTAGCAGTTGATTACGAATGTTCAAACGTGTCGGATTATCTTCACGCACAGACCAGCATACAACAAACACAAACAAGCATACAACAAACACAAACAATGCAAATCTCATTTGAAAATTCTTAGCAATCAAAAAGTACAAATTTTCAAAGTTAAGAATCGTCAAATGTTTGAAAGTACAACCTACTTTATTGTCAGCTTTTCATGAACTGACGTTTATACTATAAAAGTATTGCATTTATATT